ATTGTCGGTGAAAAAGGCACCCTAACGTATATACATGTACATATATACTACATGTGTATGTATAAATTTCAAACATTCCTTACTTTGCCGAATCATTTTTCAATTAATAACACAGGTTTACAAAAAAAAAGTGTGTGCATATTAAACCAAACCTATATATCCCTATGTTATTCGACGCGCTGAATGAAAAGCTGAGGTCCGTTGGCCTCCATCACGTCAGGTTCGTGGTTGTTTGAAGGTCAAGTAGGGAAAAATTCATTGAATAAACCTGAAAATTCAACAAATTTCATCTGAATTTGACCTGGGATGACCTTGGCACGATCTCTAGATGACCTTGAGGAATAAACGGACCCCCATACTCAGCGATAACAAAAACAAAAATTTTTATTTTTATTAAATCTGTGTTCGTATGGAAAAGTAGCTTATGTCGAAAGGCTGGCTTTAGTATAAATCGGCATTCGTAGCATACAATTGCAAATTACTGACGCTTAGCCGTTAAAGAACTTTTGGCAAATAAACGCGCAAGAAATAGTTCCGATACTAGCAAGTCAATATTTTTATTAAGTCTCATCAAAAAATTCCTTTTCGTTTAAAGAATAAATGGAATGCCGCATTATACTAAAGCCAGCCTTTCGACATAAGCTACTCAAATGACCTTGAAGCTGACATTATGGAGGTTAACGGACCTCGGATTCGGGTTCAACGAATCTAAAACCTTATATAAATATATGAATTTTCAGGTTTATTCAATGAACTTTTCCCTACTCGACCTTCAACTGACCACGAACCTAACGTGATGAAGACTAACGGGCTACAGATTCGCATTCAGCGTGTCGAATAACATAACGATATATAGGTTTGGTTTAATATGCATACACTTTTTTTGTAAACCTGTGTAATTATTGTATTATAATAGGTTTGTTCCACAAGCTACTTGTAGAAAAACTCGAGAAAAGTTCATACTGTCAGCGTATATCAAATGAACTCTAAAACTTACTAGTGGAACGCGTATGTGTAACTCGAAGTGACTTCGAGTAGCTTGTGAAACAAACCTAATATGAAACAATATGAAGCCCGAGTGCTAACTTCTCCCTTTTACGGTCGTTTTTCCAACACACGCATTGTGTGACCGTCGGCAGCTTGACGTTTTGCGTTTGACGATGGTAAAATTAATATAAAAACCTTTACTAACGTTGCTGAAAAAACATATTTCCTCTCAATTTGGAAAGTTCAAAATGGGTTTAAGACCCACGTAGAATACTCCTATACCGCATCGTCGTAAAAATCTTCCTACCACCGCCCGAAAAAATTGAAAGGCTCCTACACTGAGAAAAAGGATTAGTTTCGACAACTAAAGATATTTAGTTCCCGAATTTTGACAATATTTGGGAACTGTTACCAAGGATTGGGAACTATTACCATGGGTTGGTAATTATAACTAAATATACTAAAGCTTCTAATATTCATCTAGGTTGTAACAAATCGTTTATTTAGTTGAAGGGTTTGGTTAATACTAATAAATATTTCTTTGAAGCATATTTCTACAAATTCCATTCAACTTAATGTATGGTTCATAAAAGGATGTCATTAAGCTCTGCTAATACAGATAAGCTTTCTTTCAACACATGGTTTAGTCATAGTTACCAAATCTTAGTTAAGGCCACCTCGATTTGGTTTGAGAGTGGAACACATTCATGCTTGTGAGCCACCCCTAAAGAATGCTGAGCGTTCTCTGGGCACATGTGTGTTTCACATACGAAGAGCGCCAGCTGAGCAATGCACACAGTCCCACTTATTGAATCGTTTGAATGTGCTAGTATGCCGACCATTGCATTGTGCGTGGAAATCATTGCTCCGCTACCGCTGTTCGTATATGGGTGAAACATGCACGAGGTCCCAGATCGCTCAGTAAGCTATGGCATGTCGATAGCTGCGCTAGGTAGAGAAAGAAAAGTGTGTGCTATGACATACCCAGACTTGTTTATCTCAGTTTCAGTTTTGCTATCACCGCGAGTTGTTTCGGTGCGCGCATAGTTATTTAAAAATATAAAGTTTGATGCCAACCGGGGTTTTTCAGTGGATATATAATTCATGTGAATTATAATTAGAAAATTTTTTTGTAGAGCATTTTAACGCATTGACTCCTACCATCATCCCAGCATATACAGTCTCTAACGTTAGAGTAATTTGGATTTATACATTAGATAACTAGGGTAATTCTCTAATCGTTCTCCAGTCGATGACGAAGTTAGAGAACTACATTGGAATTCGATTCGAGAACGATTAGAGAAACAACCCATATCCAAATAAATATTCCAAATGAATGAATCATAAATTATGTTTAAGTTTAAATAATTCATTATTATTTAATTGCAAATTCATTTCATACAAATTTGACAAACAAGGCATTCTATTTAATAAAGCAAAACAGCAGTTCGAAGTTCACATTCGAATCCCATTAGAGATGAACATTAGAATTCAATTAGAGAATTAATATTTTCTCGAATCGAGAACTATGACCCATTTTTGTTAAGATCGCTATGATTCTCGATAGCTTTTCGAGTCGTCCTCTAACGTTTGAGATTGGAGAATGTGGCTAGTTCTCCATTCATTCTCTAATCGATTAGTAGATGCTACAAATATACATTTAAAATTATAAAATTCTAATTTCAACAATCAAACTACCAAAACTGACAAATTCGGCCAACAAAATTTCAGCTTGCTGCATTTTTTATCTATTTTGGTATATTTAAAGGACAATTATGGTACAAACGAAAAATGACATACGGCAACCATAGTCAGCACACACTACAAAAAAACAAACTGGAGATTAATAGTAAATTAACTAAAAATAAACTCAACAAACCTTTTGCTTAATAACTTTACTATCTTTTTCGTTGTATACTAGCATTAATAATAAAATTTGCCATAAATAAAGGCCATAAAAAAGGTCATATTTACTTTTATTTATTTACAAACATATGTTTGTGATGAGCTGATTTTCTTACTTGCAAGTTTTCGCTGGGAAAAATTTTTCTAGCAGAAATTTGCAGCTCTCTATCACATTTTGCTCTCTCAATTTCCCCTAAATACTTTGCAAGTTGTTTGGGTATGAGAACGCAAAACCAGTAAAAGTTTTCTAAAGCTTTTGATAGTTTTGCGTACGAGTACACTCCTAATGTTTGCTGGGATAATGGGTTTTTGTGACCGCTACTTTGAAGAAATTTCACGTAAAATAGAAAATGACAGCTAGAACATTTCAACCCTCCAACTGTCATTTCTAATTAACTTTTCCAAAAACAGTTTTTTCAAGTTTTAAGGTGCGTTCACCGTTCGTGTCCGGAGAACTTTTTATTTGCTCTCAAAACATTTTTGCCGGAGAGGGTGCTGAAGTACAGTTCACCGTTCAGTTCGGCACATTTTATTTTGTTCTGTAGCAAACAGCTGATGATATTGTTGTCTACGTGCGATTTTGAGGGCAAATCGGGTTTAGAAAACTTTTACTGGTTTTGCGTTCTCGAACCCAAAAAACTTGCAAAGTAGGGGAAAATGAGAGAGCAAAACGTGATAGAGCTGGGTAAAAGATTGTCGTATGTTAATTTCGGCAGGTTGTGGGAAATCGTGATTGAAGTTGGGAATGCAATTTCTCAGAAACGCGAAGGTAGATTTTCTCCCAAGTCTCTGAAAAGCTCACAAAATTCTTAAATTATTTAATTTTTAATGTTTATTGTTAATTAGTTTGGAGTTCATAAAGGATTTTCTTTAGTAAAATTTTGTCGTAAGCGTCATTTGTCCACAATTTGGCAGCCAGCTTTTCTTTAACGACACTTTTTACACAATACCTCGGAAGCTAAAAGAGATATCCAAAAATGGTGAACGCCATTTTTAAGATATTGATTAGTTTAATATGACTGCATCACTAACTAAATTTTTACTAAATTATCGAAAAAATTGTAGTCAATATCTCGGCAACTAAAGGAGATATCTAAAAACTGATAACACCAATCGAAAGACCTTATTTCAAAATATATAACCGCATCTAGAACTAAAAATCGTCAAAATTGTGTGTACGACAATCTTTTACCCAGGCGACGATGTGTACAAAATACTAAATAATTATATCGTCGTTTAAAGTACAAAACCGCGTATGTGAGGTTGCATAAATTATTTGCTAGAGAGTAAAAACACTCATATTTCAAAATGGTTCTCTTTTTTATAAAGAAATCGCATTTCTGGCTAGTATATTTCAGGACGAATGGATAAGGATTGAGCCAAGAGCTTGTGTGAGCAAATCAAATTTTTGGCAGCCAATGTCAGTTACGCGGTTTTGCAGAATGACGATACGCGGTTTTGTACTTTAAACGACGATATACAAAAATTGGTATACATTTTTTGGATTTTTTTGCTTCAATAGCTTCTAGAATGGCTAGAAACTTAACAGGCATAAAAAAAGTTTTATTGCAGTGCGAAAGTTTTTAAGGCAAGTTCTGAACATTTGAATTTGTTAATAGTTACCTTCGAGCCAAAGCGAATTTATAAAAGGTGGTGTTACTGGCGAATTTAGATTTTCGCCGCGGCACTTCTTAATGTCAAAATGATGTGTTTGTTGTTAACAAGGCGAATTCATATTACAACAAACACATCATTTTGACATTAAGAAGTACTGCGACGAAAATGTAAAATCGCCAGTAAAACCTTCGAGCTGTGGTTGGAAGTCAGTTGATTCATAAAACTACATTTAAAATTATTTTTGCGACCAAAAAATGGAAATTTTAACCCACTGTACAAAAAAATTTTGAGGATCTCGAGCAAAGTCGTTTTTGATACTCACGTTTAGGCCCTATTTCGCGGAGATTCTAAAAAACCTTAAAATAGTTCCTATGTATTTTCCATCTTAATTTATTTATCACTTTTTTATTTGAAACTAAAATTTTAGATGGGATAAATATATCTATGCTTAATGGTTGTGTATGTATTTGAACGCATGCTTTATTTTTCAGTCGATGGATATCCACGCCGCTCACCCATTAACGTGAACTTTTATGATATCGGCTTTCGTCTAAAAGCCCCAGGAGATTTTATACCTGAGGAAATAGATAATGCACTTGACACCCTATATAATCGCACCGTCGAGCAAGAAAGAACACAACTTATACAGCTGCAGTATGTTTTTCAGGGTCTTTCATCGGTCGCCTACAATACTTATATACCATGCAAAAGTGCGAATTATGCCCCGGATCGCTCAAATCAACTTAAAGGAATTATACGCGATTATTTCGAAAATGACTACCCGAAAGAACTTAAGTTGGAAGCTGATGTAAGTAAACCCATACATTGTTCGTAAGCAGTTATATAGAAATTTTGTTTGGGACTACACTATTTATAACAGCTATGTTAAATCGCTTCGCCTGTAAAATTTTAAATAGGTTACTTAGAATCTTTTGTATTGAGTTGGAAACACTTAATTTCTAAATATTGTTCGCACTATTACAGGCTTCCGCCTTATCCGATGCAGATATTGAAAACGATGTACTTTCGCTCATCAACA